GGGCAATTAGCAAGAGCGGGCGCAATACGCTTCCCAAGACGCTCAGTTGAACCCCCTCCGTTTCCGATGGAATTAAAGGAGGGGATCAGGGCAGGTGCTCCTGAACCACGGCTCTCGCTGGGCGGCCGCCTGCTCACCCCCCCGCTCGCCAAGCTGTTGGCCAGGGCTGGTCTTCTGGTGACCCTCCTGCTGGCCATCAGGCACCGGGCCCGCGATTCCCGGCTGAGACTCAGCCTGTCGCCATCCTCAACTACTTGGTACATCCATGTCATCCTGGGCCTTCCCCCTCCCAGCTCCCACCTGGCTTCAGCTGAACTGGGCTGGAGGGTCAAGGGGGGCAGAGATGGGGCGGGCAAGCAGGAGCAGGAAGGCCATCCCCTGGGTGCGCTGGGTCCTGCAGGAACGGCCACATGAAGCCTTGATGCCCGCCTAGATCTGGAGGCAGGTCCGGTCTGAAAGCATTGAGGAGCTCCAAGAACTGGTTTGCATTGCCTCACGTGCGCACAGGCACGTGCTCAGTGGCTGCAGAGCAGCTGTGGGTGCAAGGGGCGGCTTGCCAAAGCCAGAGTTTCCCCATCAGAGCCCCAGCAGAGCTGGACCTTTCTCTTTTCCTTTCAGCACTGATAAGCACAGCGTGAGGGTTCTCCGTAGCTCAGGAAGGGCTTTGCAAGGCCTCAGCTACCCGAGGGTCTGCCCTTCTTATGAAGGGAGCACGCAGTCGGTCTGGTTTTCCCCAGCCCGCGGTCTGACGGGCTGGGAAGGAAGAGGCTGTGCTGCGAGTGAGCACGCTCTCTGGGCCTGTGGGATTGTGGGCATCCTGGGGCATAAACAAACCCTGCCCGTGCTTTCGAGCGCATGAATGTATCAAGCAGGGCGGGGTCATTGGCCAGCTGCCTGACGTTGCTGACCGCTGACTCTCAGCCGCCTTTTCCCCCTCCCGAGCACTGGCCCGGGGTTCCGGCTGGGCGGCTCCTGGCCCCGGGAGAGGAGCAAGGCACAGCCCAGGTCACCTGGCAGGGGAGGGGCTGCAGGAGGCCTCCCGGGCGCCATGGCTGGGGCTGCGGGGCAGAGGCTGGCAGCGGTGGCCTCTGCTGCTGATTGGCGTTCTCCCTGCAGAAGCCAACAAGCAAGAGCGCATAGTGGGCGAGATCGCCTTCCAGCTGGACCGCAGGATCCTCTCCAGCATCTTCCCTGACCGAGTCCGCCTCTATGGCTTCACCGTTCGCAACATCCCTGAGAAAATCGCCCAGGTGAAGCGACCCCCCCTTGCTGCCCATCCCCACCCCCACGAGGGTATCTTTGGGGCAGGAGGGAGGGGAGATGCTTTCTGCCCTGCAGGGGTGGCGAGATATGCTTGCTCCCCAGCTGGGGCCTCTCCGTCTGAGGGAGCAGCACGATACCCCGCCCCTGCACTTCTCCTCGGGACGCAGCCTGGAGCAATCATGGGGCTTTGCGTGGGGAGAGCATCCCCCCTCACAGGCTTGTCCTGTAGTCCCAGCCTCCAGGGAGGTGCCCCAGGAGGGGGCAGGGTAGGTCAGGTCGTTGCCCACCCATGGCTGGACTCAGCAACGCCCTTGTTGCTGTCCGCAGGGCACTGCTTTCCAGGAATCCCTCCCAAAGGGGACCCTGAGTTCTGGCCATTTCTCCTGGGGCTGCCTGGGGCTGGACCACACCGTGGCTGGACAGGCCGTGGCCAGGCTGGACAGGCCGTGGCTGGACAGGCCGTGGCTCCAAGCTGCCCGCCTCACTTGGGGGGTCTCATTTGCAGCTCAGTAACCCCAAGCGGGGGTATCCTGCCCCCCGCACTTCTCATGCTCCCCCTCTCTCCCCAGAGAGAAAAGGACCCCTTCCTGCAGCTGAGCCCGGAGCAGTCTGACATCATCATGGAGCGCTACAGTAATGTCATGGCCTCCTTGAAGCCCCTGGGTTATGACCCCGATGTCCACCCGAGGCTCACGGAGCGCACAGTGAACACCTTTGGCATCCTCCGCGAGCGGCCGGAAGCCTCTACCCCCGAGGCAGCCGCCTACAACGACACCCAGCACCTGGAGGACGTCGTGAAGAGCGTGGCACCCCCAGACACGCTGGAGGACTGCCTGCTGCTGCTGCGCTGCCTCCACAAGCTTTCGCATGACGACGGGAAGCCCCTCTTCATCTGGTGACCCTGCCCTCCCTGATTGTGCACCCCATTAAAGGCAATAAAGGTCTAGAAAGGACTGGCCACGTGTCGCCTTCTGAATCTGCAGCCCACGCGTGTGCCCGCGGCCCGGCAGGCGCTTCCTGACAGCTGATCCCGTTTCACGGCCAAGGGTGGGGAAAAGGCTGGACCTTTGGGGGGACCCAAAACCTCTGGAGCAAGCAGGGAGTCGATGAAGTGGGGTGTGGGAGCCAGAAGAAAGCCTCTTCCAGCATCTGGGACGCCCCAATGCCCTCTAAGGCAAAGCAGTCAATGGCCTGGCGGCCTGACGTGGCTGAAGGGCCCTCTGCCCAGAGGGCCCCTGGGGAGAGTGGGTGGGAGCACCAGCTGGGGCTGTTGCAAAGGGGGCAAAGGCCAGGGCCAAAAAGGAGCACCTTCCCTCTCTTCTG